CCCCCCCCCAAGAAATAAAAAAATATGGTGGGATTGAACTTTTCGTTTATTAGGCTATATTAACAATCACGCGATACGATGACCTCAGGCTCTGAGACATAAAAAAAACTTTAAAGCCTCTGACTTTTTGATAAATAAAAAGCTAAGATTTTCATCTGTTTTCATGATGCAGATGATGACATTTTATGTATTTCTACAGACAATCAGTACAAGGTGGCAACATTAGTGTGTTGAAAATGAACTTATATTACAATTTTCACAGTTTTTTTCTTGACATTTCTCCAACAATATTCTTGAACATGAAATCTGAGGCAGTGATTGGTCCATGCCGGGGTTTTTTCTAACGACGTCACCCAGGATCAGCTTTGCAGTAAAGCCAGGTGTCGCAAATCAGCTCTAAGACTGACACTTAAGAATTACTCCTACACTTAGCTTAAAGTAAGACTGAGATGCTTGATAACTGACTTTTACTCTCAGCTTTTAACTAAGATTTTTTTTTACACTTAAGTCCAGTCTTAGCAGCTTTCTTAAGAGTAATTCTAAGAAGTTAGTCCTGATGCATCTCAGTAATCCAGGTAGAAAAAATCAAAAAGAAAAAAAGTAGGTCCTCTGGATGGGTTCTTTTTTAGTGAAACGTTTCGTCTCTGACGAAACGTTTCACTAAAGAAGAACCCATCCAGAGGACCTACTTTTTTTCTTTTTGATCTAAGAAGTTTGATAAATACGGGTCCTGAGCTACACTGTAAGCCCTGTTAGAACCTAAAGTATCCCAAATTTTACAGATGTCCTGTGTTTTTCGTTAAAATATGGCAGTGTCACACACATTTTAGGAGATGTATGATGGTTGAATTTAAGTGGAACTGCAAAATTTCAACTGTTTCTATACCTAATAATAGGAAAGTTGTCTTTGAATCAGCATAATAGACAAGTGTGGACCATCTATCATTGTTATTGCTCATTACCTAACAGAACTAAATCAAATGCCGCATTTTTTAAAAAAAACATGCTTTGGTTTGGTTTTTGTGCGCAACTTGAGTGAATAAAAGATGATTTGTTTAATCAAAATTGTTTGCAAAATACAAACACTCAATATGGGAATTATACTCCATCACGTTCCGTAACAATTTCAAATGATTACCACTCCCTCCCATCCCACCTCCACCCATTTCCACACAGATTCTAGACCCAACATGCCTGCAGCAGTTTTCAGTTGTAAATCAAAGATTCAAAGAGAACAAACAGATGAACCTTATATGCTGCATTAAAATCTATACATTCAATACCCTAAACAACACATTTATGTTGCAAAAAAGCATAAAGTACCAGTAGATAAATACTGGGACTGTTATCCTCTCAGTATCAGGAACTCACCACTAAGAACTCCCTCTTGTCCACCATCTGGTTGCCATCTGCATCAAACATATTGAAAGCAATCTTAAAGCCAGCATGAGGTTCTGGGGAACAGATAGCAGAACACATAAGGTGTGAGTGGGTGCATATGCTTATGGAGGTCATTTTTAAGCCATAAATAGTCAGGAAATAAATGGCACACAGCCAACACACAGCAAAAGAGTGGTTTAATTTCAGTACCTAAAGGGTCTTAGAAAAGTATTAAGGGTGGAAAAAATCATTTTCAGGTAATTACTGTGACCAGCCGCTGTCATATGTTTTGAATATTTGACGTGTAAATAAGAAAAATAAATATTAATAGAATAACTACATATGGACTACTTTGGTTGGAATAAAATTTTTTACTAATCAATCTTCTAGGTAATAAAACATGCCACAATCTGTACTTTCTGCAGTCTGACATTGTGCTTCACGTCCTGTCTGTGTTTCTACCATAAACTCTTTCAGAAGAGACTGACACGTTTAAGGATGGTACCGAAACTCAGCACTGATTCCACGTGATTAATTTTGACCGGATCGATAAGCTCCAGCCTTAACTGTATCGTTAACGGTGCCGGAAATAGTGGCATGACAAGAACAGACACGGCGCATGCTGCGTTGTTCAGAAAAAAAATCTCTCTTTTCCTCTCTCGCCTCTCACAGCCTGTTTCTCCTAAAGGAGAGGGCTGTTAGTTTTAGCATGTCGCTTCATTCCTAAATAAAAATGCTGCACCGGAGCATCCGGCCAGAGGCAGGTTCAGATATAAACACTGAACTAAACAAGCAGGTCAGATAATCATTAATTCAGCTCCGACTGCACAACTTCAGAATCAACATGCTAACAAGTAGCATCCATGTTTAGCTATTCTATAAATGCCACGCTGAATGTGGCATCGTGTCTTTTCTGCACATGCAGGTTGCATCAGCGCTGGAATCCTGTGTTGTTAACAGTAGGGCTGAAACGATTCCTCGAATAATTCAATTCCAGTACAAAAACTCCTCGAGGCAAATTATTTACCTCGAAGCCTCATAAAAATACATCCTGTTTTAATCAGCACACTTTCGTCCGGCCGGAATGTTATGAATGAGGTGGGGTATTTATGTATTGGGGTGGGGTATATGTGTATTTTTTAATTGCAAAATGTTTTATTTTATATTATTTTTATTTTTCTGTTTTTTCTTCTCTTTTTTTCCATTTACTGTTGGATGTTGTTTTGTTTTTACTGTTTGAAGGGAATACAGATGTAAATTAGCCTGAGGCTAAATCTGGTGCAATGCATCAAATGATGTTTTAATTACACACTGTCCCAGACAAATAAATTCATTCATTCATTCATTCATTCGTTCGTTCATTCATTCATTCATTCATTCATTCATTTGTGTCACACAACACTACGACATTAGCACTTCCGCTAACAGTTACACTGTCGACACATGTATGCTTGCTAAGCGCTATATTTAGCTTTAGAAGAAGATGAAGAGTGCCGAAATGAAGCACTCAGAAAACGACAAACTATAAAAAGCATGGGAACATTTAAAACTAAACAGAAAAGATGACAATACGCATCCTCGATGTTTCTGCACCGGAACAAAATCAGCTGATGCATGTACCGAATGTGTCCGGAGTTAACAGTATTTGTTTACGTTCCCTTTGCAAAATACGGTTACCTAAATCTGTGATAATCTGTCATGTTGCAGATGTACAAGGAGAAGGTATATTTAAGCTAACGTTATTTGTGCTGACTAATCATGGTGGCCTGGACAGTGTGTAAGTTGTGTAATTAAAAACAAGACTTACTGTAAGTTTGTCAGATAAAAATAAAAGCACAGCAACAGATTGACAGCTTGAGCTGAAACACGTTTATTTGTTGATATGCTTTTATCTTAATTTAAATGTTTCAAGTTTAAACGTATTTATAGAAGATAGCTGGATTTCTTTAATTATTTGCTGCTGCTTTTGATGACTTTAGCCTTCATTATACGGTCATATTTGTTTGTAGCTAAGCAGTCAAGACTAAATCTTTTATTGCCTAAATGGCAATAAAAGATCCCTTGGGACAATTAAAATTTCTTCTGAGACAAAAAGAGAAAATGTGCTCGTTTTGAGCTCGTTTTATTAGCTTATTTATTTGTGTTCAATTTTTTTTGTAACTACTTGTGTGTTTTGTCATATTTGTCTTATAACAGGTCTCTCTTGGAAATGAGATTCTGAATCTCAATGAGACTACTTGTATAAATACAGGTCAAATAAAAATAAACTAAATAAAAATGGGAGCCCTGCACCAACCTAATAACAGTCTTAAAAAATATGAATTTTTTGTTTCAATTAAAAAGTGAACTCTACAAAACTCAATTGCAACACCCAAATGTTTATATTAACCGATTTTACTTATTAAATTTCTAACAAAAAAAGACATTCAATTTTACAATCCATAACAACAAATTTATCGCATTTAGATTTTTCTGTGATGATTAAAAATGATTCAATGACAGAGTGCTTTTAATCAATGCCTCCTCAATCCTCACATACATAAATACAAACAAATGGAGCTTAAAATGCATGAATTAATACAACTGGTATTGTAATTTTACTTTGATTGCAGCAGTAACACGGCAATTTTTTTTATATCCGATTACTTGATTGATCATCAGAATAGTCAATAAATTAACTGATTGCTAAAATAATTGTTAGCTGCAGCCCTAAACTAAAGTATTGATGGAGTAACTTTAGCAATGTCACGGTCACATTTTAAATAAGAAAAGATTTCATCAGGGCTCTTCTAATTTTGTTCAGTGACATTAAATCCTGCAGTTCTGACTGGATGAGAAGACAAAAGATTTTATTAGTTGCATCATTAATTGAGGTTGATGATAAGCAGCATCTTTCACAATTTATCAAAGAAACCAAATATTTTTTGCACAATTCATCTATTGCCATTCTGTCAGCTTGAATAAGTCAATAAAAAAAAGCTTTGATATAAAGTGAATATGAAGTTCAGCAAAAGGCAAAGAAGCGACTCACTTGTCAGGATGCAGAGCAGGAACAGGTATTCTGTGTAGGAGATGATGCCTAGTGATGAGACCAAGACAGGGAGTTAAAAAGGTCACATTCAAGGCACTGCTGCACAGTGTTTACACATGTTCAAAGCCCGTGGGCCTCTCATGCCTCACACATCGCCACACACACACTAACACAGATAATCCTCCCTCTTATGAAGATAGCATCTTAAAATGTGTCTTCTCCAGGTTGAGCCGCCAACAGCCATTTGACCCCACACAGTCTCTTCTTTCCTGCGGTGTCCAGAGTGAAGACAGAGGCCAGTGGTGTGTGTGTGTGCGTGTGTGTGTCTGTGTTTGGATAAGTAAATGAAAAATGTTTTAGGGGGTGATCCTTTCCTTCCTCGGGCACATTTAGAATCCTTGTAGCTCCCAGCTCTGCTCTCTGGTCTTTTTATTTATTTATTTATTTTATTTTTTGTGCTTTCTGTCTGATAGTTCAGATAGTTCAGGGTGACTCGCTCGAGTGTCACGGGGGACTGCTCTCCCATGAGTGTGTATGTGTGCATGAATGTGTGTGTGTGTGTGTGTGAAGGTAAACATGACACCAGTTAAATCCAGTGTGAGTCTTGTGTTTAGCTGATTCTTGGCTGTTTTGTGTAGAGGAATTGGTTTGGAACTGAATTCTCTTTCCCCAGTGTAGCCTGAGCTCTGCAAAGACCAGCAGTCACTCTGAAGCTACTCAGGTTTCTATATACAACCCGCGTGTTTACGCTCCCAGGCTTTCTGTGTTACGCTAATGAATGAAAATGTCGGTGATACTCAAGCTAGCAGTGATTGAGGGGAGTCACTTGAACATGACTAAAAATAAAACTGGTTTACAATGAAAGATGACTTATGACTTGCAGGATTATTATAGTTAACTAAAACTAACCAAATAACGAAAACAAACTGAAAAAGCGTTGTATTTAACTAAAATACAGCGGGTAAAATAAGTATTGAACACGTCAACATTTTCCTCAGTAAATATATTACTAGAGGTGCTAATGACGTGAAATTTTCACCAGATGTCGGTAACAACCCAAGTGATCCATACATACAAAGAAATCAAACCATAAATGTCCAGAAATGAAGTTATTTGTAATAATG